GCCGGATTCGCCTCCCCCCAGCTTGCCTGGATCCGGCCCCAAGGCTCAGGGCCCTCCCACCACCTTTGGGGGGCCCGCCCCCTGCCCCATTGACCCCCATGGTGGGACTGGAGCACACAATCTACCTGGTTGGGCCCCGCTAGGCTTTGGTGAGGGAGGGTCTCTCCTTCAATCGGGGGCCACGTCAGTGAGGGGGAGGGTTTGTTTCTGCCTCCCCCCAGCTTGCCTGGATCCGGCCCCAAGGCTCAGGGCCCTCCCACCACCTTTGGGGGGCCCGCCCCCTGCCCCATTGACCCCCATGGTGGGACTGGAGCACACAATCTACCTGGTTGGGCCCCGCTAGGCTTTGGTGAGGGAGGGTCTCTCCTTCAATCGGGGGCCACGTCAGTGAGGGGGAGGGTTTGTTTCTGCTTCTCACTTGCGTGGCCCCCCCCACCTGATTTTTCTGTGGGTCAGTGGCCCCCAACCCAAAATAGGTTCCCCCCCCCCCCCCCCACATGTGAGGAGATGAAGGAGGGAATGCAGGCATGGATTGTGTCAGAGTGCAAGGATTTAACAGCCTTGAAAAAGTGCATATTCAGTTTGAGTCCATCCATAAAACCTGCTTGCCACTTAGACTGTGATCTTGACCTACTGTGATGATGAGAAAACAAATGTCATTTTACTTGCTCTTCCAAAAAGGAAAAAATAATACTCCAGGATCTTGGGGTAACAGAATTTTGCCAGGCAGTGAACTCCAGTTCCTGCAAATGGCAGGTAAAGGTGGTGGGAGGCACTCAGAGACCCAGATACAGGACATAGCAGTCTGTTAACTAAATAGCGAATCCTACCCACACAAAATCCCAAAAGGGGAATAAAAGCAGATAATTTAAATGTTAAAAGAGACATCGTTATTATTTGTTACCTCTCCGCTGTGGCAGTGATGAGACAAGATACAATATTAATCTAGTTCTAGACAGTCTAAGTAGGAACAGGAACACAGCTTGCATTCTAACGCCGAGAGAGAACATGGACTTTCTGGCCTCACGGCCCAGTCAGGCGCGGCAGAAGCAGCCAAGACAGTGAAGAAAAACGAGGAGGGCCGTGGAACGCCGAGCCAGCGCTCCATAAAAGTCAGAGCTTCATAAAACTTCATGCCACTTTGATGAAAGGGCCCGGCGGACACTCGCTCCTGCGCTCGAGGGCGCTGGGGATTAACGAGAGAGAACATGGACTTTCTGGCCTCACGGCCCAGTCAGGCGCGGCAGAAGCAGCCAAGACAGTGAAGAAAAACGAGGAGGGCCGTGGAACGCCGAGCCAGCGCTCCATAAAAGTCAGAGCTTCATAAAACTTCATGCCACTTTGATGAAAGGGCCCGGCGGACACTCGCTCCTGCGCTCGAGGGCGCTGGGGATTAACAGCCGCCCTGCTCGGCTCCTAACACGAGACGCGTTCTGCAAAACAGCCCCGGAGCTCAGGAAACAAAGCCACTTCCAGGGCAATCTTTTTTAATCTTCTCCTTTACTGCTTCAGCAGTTCGCAGCCCTGTCTGACAATGGATTCTGGGCAGGGATGCGAGAGGGAGCTGGCTGGTAATTACAATTACTGTAGCACCCAGCGGCGAGCCAGGCGTGTCTCTGCGGAGCACGGCACAGCGTCTGCCCGGGGGAGTTTGCCTTCTGCAGAGGGGTGGGGGCCTCTCCCTGCGGGGGGCTGAGCCAGAGAGATTCGGGGGCTGCCCCGAAGCGCCCCGAGCCGGAATGGACCTTTGGAACCACTGCCCCAAGGGGCTGTCTGGAGCTCTGCTCTAGCTCAGAAGACGGGCTTGCTGAGGGCACCCTTGGGTGCCATCCCAAGGCCTGTGCTATGTTGGAGCTCAGAGGAACCCGACTCCCAGGGCTGCAGAGCTCTCCGGAGCCATCGAGTCCAGCCCCCTACCCCAAAAGGACCAGCCCCAACACGATCTGACCGTAATATCGAGGAGACCTGTGGTGCGGACAGCAGATGTGCCCCAATCCGAGTCCCAGAGCAATGCCTTAGCCACCCTCCCCCCCGGCCTCAGGGCCTGGCTTGGATTCCTGTCAGGCCGGGAGCTGGGGGGTGGGCCCTGGCTAGCCAGCCCCCCTGAGAGGAGGCGGATGTGACCCTCAGGCAGGCCTTCCTGCTGCTTCTAGCCCCCACCCCCCATGGCTCCCCGCTGCCCCCCCCGAGGAAGAGCCCTTCCGGCAGCACGTGGGCACACCTCAGAGCGGGGGGATGGGCGCGGCGGGACTGACCCCCTCCCCTGGCACTGCCATCTCCAAGGAGGCTGGCGCGGCCCTCAGGCTGGAGGGCCCCGGCCGTGCAGAGACGAGCGAGAGAAGCCCTCCCTCCCCGGTGCTACTGAACTCGGTTGTAAGGCAATGGGCTGAGACCAAGTGTAGCTCACTTCCCCGGGACGCCCCTTCCCCCCCACGCCGGGCCAAGTGCCTGAACCTGCCCCTTCGCAGTTCTCCTCCAGGCCCCCATGCCGGGGCAGGAAGCAGCAGCGCAGAGGAGCCGCAGTCTAGCAAGGAGTTGGATATATCGAAAGAGCAG